TTTTTTGTATCTGGTCTCAACCATAGACCAGGGGGGTCCAGCGTTTTGGGAACGCCGGACCCCCAAGAGCAAAAAATTCCGACCGGATTCTGGCAAAAAAAATCAGTTTTGATTTCGTTCAAAAAATATAATATGTCCGTTTTGACGAAATGGTTGTTCTGTCACGGAAGGATCCGTGGTACAACAGGATGTACTTGTATGCGACAAGGGGAACAATCCGCTCAGTGGACCTGGGACGTTCAGAGTCGTGTGGGAAGACAAGATAGGGAAAGAAGGGCGAGAACACATCAAGCTTGGCGGACGGGTTGGAGGTTGTTGACGAGTCCAACATATATCCACTCACATGGAAAGGCAGAAGGGAGGATATTCGACTGGGGGAGGCCGATGTGATGTGCTTGGCCGTTGGGAACTGGCTCAATGACAATGTAATGGACATGTATTTGCAGTCGGTATACGAAGAGCAATGTCAAGGTAAGGACACCGCAGAAGTGCATGTGTGCACAACGTTTTGGAATCCGCAATTGCTCGCTAATCAACAAGGTGACACAGCGAAAAGGGGATGGGAGTTGCGTGTGAAGAGTCGAACGACCAAAGTCCATCGACAGTGTAAAGACCTCGAGGTTGCACCGGTTGTGCTTATTCCAATTAACCACAAGCATCATTGGATGCTGCTCATATTGTTGAATGTAAGGGAGTTTTGGACCGATGGCATAATCGTCGACTCGTGTCACGGGTATGCAAGTCCGGATTGGAAGGCGTTGCGGACATTATTGTGGCACGAGTACCTCAACGACAACAGAAGGGGTCCGGATGTCACACGGCAACTGGTGGGCAAGTCGTGGAACACTTGCAGAGACGTGTTTGGTCGTGGACTCATCCATGCGAGGTGTTCACAACAAAGTAACAGAGAGGATTGTGGTGTGTATGTATGTTGCATGGCAGAAGAGTTGATAACTAAGCTTGCACATCCCCCAACACGGAATGGCATCTCGAACGACGACGTACTGGAGATTGTAGCGAAGATGCACATCGATGAAAGAATTGTTCGAGACTTCCCCGTCAGAGCTCTCGATCGCATTGCAGAGTGCGCAGCAGCAGCAAAAGGTCACAAGAGTGTTGGAGCACATCGCACGCTAGCTCGTGCGATTAGAGCGAAGATAAAAAAAGACGGTGGCGAACTGCCTTAGACAACGGCGCAAGTGGCATGCCGGCGGGACGATGATTGGGGGGGGGG